AGGTGTTCCCATCCTGTCCCCCTTACTCCTACCAATTTTGGACGCTTTGGGTCCACTGGAGCAGCAGTTATGAATTTGCGAGCTAAAATTTCTATCGCGCACAACCTGCTCCCTGTGGGTGGAGTCTGCTCCTAACACCTGTCATAAGTGTTCCCATGCTGTCCCCTGTACTCGTGCCAAATTTGAGCTTTCTAGGTCAACGGGAACAGGAGTTATGAATTTGCGGACCAAAATTTCTAACGCGCACGCCGCGCTCCCTGTGAACGGAGTCCGGTCCTGCCACTTACCATAGGTGTTCCCATCCTGTCCCCCTTACTCCTACCAATTTTGAACGCTCTAGGTCCACGGAGACAGGAGTTATGAATTTCCGGTCAAACACACACACCGACACACACACACAAACACACACACACACACACACACACACACACACACAAACACACCGACACACCAACAGACACACTTAGCGAATTATATAAAGTAGGATAACCTTGATTTATGGTGCTGGATAGATTGGGGAAACAGGCTTGACGATTGAGTGTCCGTAAAAAGGAACACTAAAACCATTGTTAAACAATTAGTAATTTATCGCTGAAAATTCGTAAAGTGCATGGGATTACCTACTTCCATACGATCAGTCTACAAATTTAACTTTCTTATGGGATTGAAAAGAAAATCTCCGAAGTTATGCCGGTTCTGTGAAACAATTTGCAGCTAGCAGATGTTCAAGAGAGCGTTTTTGTTTGTACACAAGAAAGTTGATCTCGTGAACCGGCTTTGCAGGAGTCGGAAGAATGAGATGTATAGGTGGTGGGGACATGTTTGGTTTCCTTTGTCCACCGCAGCTATTCTTAAAAATATTCCGAAAGCTCATTTGTGTGGGCTTCCTTGGCTGATCATTCAGATAGATGGGGAATTCGATGGAGGGAGGGAATGTTCCGATCCCAGGCAAGATATAAGAAATAGTTGCAAAGCCCATAGGCAAATATTCAGTTTTTCCTCGAGAATCCATAAAAGGGGGCAGTATAATGGAAAAGGTGATTCTTGGCTGGAACTCTCTCAGTGCAACAACAAAAGCATCTGGATCTGTTCAAGTGATTGTACAGAAATCCCTGCAATCATCTTTTCATCGTTGCCGGGGAGGGGGGGGGGGGGGGGGG